ACTTGTGGTGCTGGTGTTTTTGACCATATAGGTAATCTACCAGCATCAAGTTCTTCAATACATCGAGTATATGTAATAACAGCTTCTTCTTCAAGAAAACCAACAAAACGATGACAAATTTTTGGTGAAAGAAGATAAGTCAAAAAAAATCCACTTAATAATAAAATATTAGTTTGAAGAATAATACTAAAACTAAATTCTCACTTAAAAAAAACACCTTGACCGAGTAGAACAAATGCACGAAAAATCCAACCAGGTTGTCGTAATTCTAAAAATGTTAATAGATGCATACGTTCATTTTCTGCTTCAGATAAAAGTGTATGAATCCATCCATGATCACGTCGCATTGTACCTTTGAATATCGATGAAATAAATCAAGAATAATAAAATAAAAAAAATAAAAACTTACGCAGTGATTTCATATGGCGATTCATACCAGCAACCATACCTGGTACACCAGCAATCGATTCTAAAAATATAACACGTCTCAACCATTCTTTTTCGGTCATTATTTTTTTTGGTCGATGATTTTGTTTTTCATTATTCGTTTTTGACTTAGGAGACTCATGAACATAACCAGTGAATGTATCAAAAAAGAAACGTAATGTCCGTACAGCTGCATAAGCAATTCGATCGTGCCATGATTCAAATTTTTTGTGTGTTACTTTAACAGCTTTGAGTTCATCTGTCGAATAAATTTCATGATGCATCATATAATTGTTAAGATCTGTAAAGTTTAAAAAAAACAAGATTCAAAGCATAAGCAATAAATAGGACAAAATTTATTAATTGTACATTTTCTAATTATATGTTTGTTTTTTCTCAAGTCTCTGAAAATATTTCATTTGAGCTGCATCAAAATAGTAATTTAATATTAATTATTCTACTCATAAGTTTTACTATGATAACTTCAAAAATGAAAATAAACAGAAAATATAATGGTAAACTTATAATTGTTCTTCTCTATGCATACCTTTTTCTTCTGCACTCGCATAAGTTTTGACTCGCATATGAGGCAATTCATCATATTCATTAGATTTAATTGAATCTTTCTGATCAATTGATTTTTCCGTATTCATTAATGGTAAACTTGTATGAAGAAGACAATGTTGTTGAAAAGAATTCCAATTGACACGATATTTACTTGTTGTCAAGGACAAATGTCGAATGTGGAAAAATAATTTTGTACTATTCATTTTGAAAATCTACAAATTCGAGAGTATAATATGTTATAAAATTGATAACAATATCAATCGTATCGTTTTTTTTCCCGTAGATTTATGAAATACTAAAATAATAAAATTTAAAAAATTGATTGATCATCTCAATTATATGAACTTGTTTTTAAAAATATTATATATAATATCAAAAAAGAAAAAAAAAGTTCTGCGCTAATGTATATTCTAAAATTTCTTTTTTTTCAAAATTATCAATTACTATGCATGGAATAGAATTAAGATAGAAGCTGAAATTAAAATGCTGTTATATTCATTAGTAAATATTTTATTTATTTGTTATAATTTACTAATTTCACATGCAAAATACACATGCAAAATACACACAAACAAACATTATCAGACTATTTTATTGTAATCTTTCTTTTAACATAACGATTTTTCACTTGTTCTACACATTTATGAGCAAGAAAAAGCATACTTGAAGTAAGGAAATAAAAAATAACAGAATATATGATTGTATTATTTGGCATTTTACTTTTAAACCAATTTGAAGCTAGTCCAAGTATTAATACGAAACAAGATATAGTAAAAAGAAGCACACCTGACGTTGCATGATAAATGCGAAGTTGTGCATAAGTTAGTCCTAGTGAACGAATATAACGTTGAAAAATAGTAAGAAACAGACCGGCTATGGCTTGTAATAATGACCAAATAAACACAATAAGTCCAATAAAACCATGCCTTTAGTAGAAAACAATGAAATACATTATTCAATAAATATTATTTTTTATTTACCAGCTAGTAAAATGTGGTTTATTTCGTTGTATTTTGGTTGTATAGATTGCTGTAAAAGCAATAATTGAACAAATAATAGTACCAACTTGTAAAAATGAATGAATAAGAATTTGTTTTCGTCGTGGCAATGATGGAGAACAAGATGTATCATCCATTGAAAAAATATGTATTGCTTGAAACATACAACCAAGATACTAAAATATATATGTATATTATTCATGCATATTCTCTTCTCGACTATTGTGGATATATTAACTTACACTAACAGCCATCAATGATGGATGCAGCTTAAAAATACCAACTTCCCATATACACAAAACAACAAATAATAATACAAGTAATATCGAAACAACAATAGCCACTGTCTTCATCTTAAATATATAATCAATCGAAGTTTTTAGATTAGAAAAACTTGAACATAAATGCATATAAGGAATGTTAACAAACGTATATATATGTATATTAATAAAAAGCTATAATAAAAAAAAACAAGTTTAATCAACGAATATATAGTCATTTCATAAGCAAAAAAAAAAGATAAAGGAACAAGTTTGCTTTAAGATTGATATACATTGTTTTTCCAAAAGAAGCAAACAAAAAAGAAAAAGAAAAAGACAAAAGAAAGCATTCGTTCATACTACGTTGTATATAAGAAGTAAAAATCAGTTGAATTTTTTTAAAAATTCTTCAGCACACATTCGTGCACGTGAACTAACAGCCAATTTCATTTCACTAATTTCTTTATCGATTTCTTCAAGAAAATAAATTATAAAATCAACTAAACGATGTTTATACATTGTTTCTGCATGAAAATTTGTTATTAAAAAACTTATATCATATTCCTAGATAAAATATTTTTAATAATTAATAAAACAAAAAAAAAAAAAGAATTTTATTTTTACATACAGGAATTGGTTTTCGACGAAGTATATGAAAATCATCAGCACGTTGCATCATAAAACGCATTAATCGTTTGCATAAAATTTTCTCAAGATCATCTGCCTATTACAAAAAAATATAAAATAAAAACAAAAGAAAAATTTTATTATTAATAAAATAATGATTTTACTTGTTTAACACCAATACTGATTCGAACAGAATTAATTGAACCTTCAATAAGAATTCGTTCATTTTGATTACGACTTATTACAACCGGATTAAGTAATAATTGTTTAGAAGATCTAAATAATTAAAAATAAAATTCGTTTTAAATTAAAAAACAAACCAAAATACATACTTGACTTCAACTTCAGGTTTATTATGACGTTCAACAACTTGTGATTCAAAATTTTCAATACAAAATGCTGCTTGAAGTGTTGCACGAATCGCATCAAGATATGGTTTATGGGCAGATGTCTAGATGAATAAGAAAATAATATTTTTCGTGACAAAACGCATTAACTTACTCTAGGAGGTACTGGTTGTGTCATTTTGAGTTGTGAAGAAAAAGAAAACAAATCCGAGAGAGATACAAGACAAAAAACCACAAATAGATATTAGATAAACAAATGGACCAAAAAAACGGACGATGATGATGAGGTAAATGATATTAAACAGAACAAAATGATTCGTTCTTTAATACTACTATCCACGCATGAGATCCTCCGATTTTAGTGAATAATAGCGGCATCTATATATAAATTTATGAAAAAAAATTATAATAATAATTATTAATTAAAGTAAATGTGAAAATTTAATTTATCTAATATGATCTTCTATCGATTCTATGAAAAATTAAATATAAACTTTAAAGAAGGTTGTACTAGATATTGAAATAATATTAGTTGTTGTTGACTCGAAATTAAGTTGATAATAATAATCTATATATGACATATAAGAAACTTATAAAATCTTATAGAGTATTTTAACATAGCAATACGATCAATCTATATTCGAATATAGTAAAATGTTACATTCTACGAAAGTCAATGAACGAAAGAAAGATCAGACTTTGCATTTTTGAGAAAATTATGTTTCAAATCTGATTTACTTATGAAAGAATATATCTGATAAATGAAATTGCCAAAATGAAGAAATATAACAACGAAAAGACGTATGTGTGATGAAGAGTGAATCAAGTATTGTAACTAATGTGCAATAAATAGTAATAGTCAAATGAATCGTGCGTGATAAAGAGTATAGAAAACTAAGAATTCACAAATTTATTTAACATCGTTGTACTGAAAAAAAACTTATTTACATTGTCAAATGCATCTTCAATACATAACGTCTTTTCTTCTAATGACAATATATACCATAGAAAGTGATAAACTATCATTTTATTCTTTGTTTCATTGGTTGAACCACCATATTATGCTGCTATACACATTCATTTAATCGTTCAGTAAGCTTACGAGCATACCATCCTTTCTCTTGACAAACTTTGACATATACTGTTGAGTTTTGCTTAAACTTAGAATTCAATTAATTCATACTTTTTCGTCTGTCTATCTTCTGTTGACTCTGCTAGATCAACAACATCGTCGTTCTAATGATCGACACCTACAATAAGATCGTTTAGTTGCATTAAATACCAAAACCGACAATATTTAGACTTGTTAAAATTTATCGTGGAAATCTTAGATACATCGAACGCTTTGAGAGATTCTAGAAAGTTCCAGATGAGCTAAGCATTGCTATTACTGATACGCCTTTGCTTGTTGCAAGGAAAACGTATTCAATAGTCTTTGGCTTTCCTTTGTTCAGCCTCGTTTGCTAAATGGAACCCTTCGGTTTCCAAAAAAAACCATGGAACGAGACCTGTTGTAACCGAAAATTCTTTTTTATTGATAACTAGAGTTATTTAGGGTGTAGATGTGGATGTGAGTGTCGAGTGTGAGGAAGATACTATCAACAATCATGTCCACATCAACATTCTTTTCACAGTCTTCCCGTTTTTGTTTTATCTTTTGAAGAAACTGGTTTTTCAATAAAATAATAAATATCAACAAGTTCGAAAAATGAAAGATAGAAATTTCTAAAAACACTCCCATTAATTACTTGATATACTATCAATAAATCACTAGTTTCAAAGACACTTTTTAAGAACCGAAATTGGAGCCGGTTTTTATTAGCCGGAATTTTTAGTTCCAATTCCGGTTCCGGGTATTTCGTTTTTGAAACAACATGGTTCTATTGCTAGGGTCTAGAAGAGAAACCTCAAAAGCTTCGATTTAAACTTATACTCACTATTTTTTTTCGAAAATATGTGTGAGTTTCACAAAATTTAAGTGTTGTATTCGGCTTTCAAAAGTTCTTTCAGGCCAAAATCGATCATACATCAGTTACTAAAGCGTAAGATATCCTAGGTCAGGATTCGAGTATTTCATCTCGCGATTCGCGACACACCCGATTCCAACTGAGATCTCACTGGTTCCAAGTAGAACTCGATGAGCTCTATCCAACACACTAGTTTTTTCCGAAAACAAACAATCCTTACTAGTGAAAACCCGTTTCTTTCGCAAAAAAAAACAAGAAAAAATGACACAGCGACACCAAAACCACTCGCGATTCACTCAGAGACCGATTCCAACAAAACTAACGCTGGTTCCAAGTAGATCTCGATGCGCTCTATCCAATGGACACCTTTTGAGCTCGAATCGATGCATCCATCACTGAGAAATCGGCCAATAGGCCCCAGAACAGAGCTTTTCTTCCGGAAACTCTATCACGATTCGTCCAGACACCGATTCCAACAAAAATAACGTTAGTTCCAAGTAGATCTCGATGAGCTCTATCGAATGGACACCATTTGAGCTTAAATCGATGCACCTATCGCTGAGAAGGGAGAAAAGTCCTGTTCTGAGGCCTATTGGCTGATTTCTCAGCGATGGGTGCATCGATTTAAGCTCAAAAGATGTCCATTCGATGGACCTCATCGAGATCGACTTGGAACCAGCATTAGCTTTGTTGGAATCGGTCAGGGGTCGAATCGTGGCAGGTTTTCCAGTAGAAAAGCCCTGTTCTGGGGTCTATTGACTGATTTCTCAGCGATAGATGGATCGATTTAAGCCCAAAAGGTGTCCATTCGATGGAGCTCATCGAGATCTACTTGGAACCAGTGTTAGCTTTGTTGGAACCAGTCACTGGTCGAATCGTGACTGGTTTTCCTGGGAAAGCCCTGTTCTGGGGCCTATTGGGTGATTTCTCAGCGACTGGTGAATCGATTTAAGCTCAAAAGGTATCCATTCGATAGAGCTCATCGAGATCTACTTGGAACCAGTGTTGAATTTGTTGGAATCGGTCACTGGGAGAATCGCGGGAGGTTTTCCCGAAAAAAGCGTTGTTTCGGGCCTTGTGGGCCGATTTCTCAGTGATGGATGCATCGATTTGAGCTCAAAAGGTGTCCATTGGATAGAGCGCATCGAGATCTACTTGGAACTAGTGTCGGTTTTGTTGGAATCGGTCTCTGAGCGAATCGCGAGTGGCTTTGGTGTCGTTGTATTGTCTTTTCTTGTATTTTTTCGAAAAAAACGGGTTTTCACCAGTAAGGATTGTTTGTTTTCGGAAAAAAACTAGTGCGTTGGATAGGGCTCACCGAGTTCTACTTGGAACCAGTGTGATCTCAGTTGGAATCGGGCGTATCGCGAGATGAAATACTCGAATTCTGACCTAGGATATCCTACGTAAACCCAAACATGTGTTTCTCATTCCTTTACATTGATAGACTTATGCAATGCATCGAAATCCTTGTAAAAACGTCAAAATTTTTTTATTATTTTCGGTGGCAGAAAAGTAATATTGTCGTAGTAAAGCTGACTTAGAAAACTTTCTTCAGGAAAAATAAAATTTCAAATGACTACACGAATGAATAAAGGATTTATATACTTTACTGCTTGTCTTCTCATTGTTTAATGATGTTGAAACTCATCTAATTCTAAACAAGTAGTTGGAAATATATATAAATTTTACTAAAAGCTTATTTTTCTATAATATGATTATGATAATAAAAAACAACGAATACACAAAGTAACCTCAATTTGATCTGTTAAAAATGTAATTGGTCAAAGATTAATGTTTAAACTATTATAAAACCTTATTTTCGTGAACCATAAATAGTCTTAGATGTTGTAATTCGATAGAAGCAAGTAATTAATAATAATTAGAAAAGACTATAACTTAAGATAATGCATATAACATGATCTATTTTCAATTCTTACATAACATTCATTAATTCTGTCAAAATTTATTTTTAAAATTTAAATATAGGAACTTACCGATAAACATTTTCATAAAAATTATCAAATAAAGTAAATTTGAATAAAATATCATTCTTAAAAATTTCAAGAAAAAAACAACTTCAATGATCGGTTTCAAACCGATCGTCTGTTCACTTTGTCGTTAAGTGATATATCTTCAACTATTTTATTAGAACGTTTTATATTTCAAATCTTATATCCATCTGACACAGAAATTAAACTATAGTAGTTATCTTAATTTACGTGTGTTTTATAAAAAATACAAAAGAATTTTTAATCACTGTTTGTTATAATGCACCAATAATACATACGACACTATTCTCAGATGTCTTTCATTTAGAATTTGAATGGTAAAACGAAATAGACTGGTGAAATAGAGGAATGTCCAAGATTTGAAAAACTGGAATCCTTTATCAAGTCTTCTATAGTTTTATAATTGCTAAAATGAAAAAACATCCAATATTCACAATAGTGTTTGCTCTCACATTGATATTCATCAAGAAATCTATGAATTTGAATGTATAGGTATGAAAACTATTGTAGAAAACAAAAAAAACATTATTTTGGCTTTTCTGATTGACGAAACTAATGATCAATTTCCATTTCTCCAAGGGATTATCATAACTTCACTGAGAGTTTCTCCACAACTTAGGAATTTCAATTTGTCACTTCTTGGAAGGTGTGAATCTTTTCTTCAATCATACTCAGACTCACACGCTATTATTTCTTATTGCTGTACTTATACATCTCTCACTTTTTAGTATCCTATGAAATATCTTCCTCAGCTTATCGACCATCTCGAAATAAACTTTTCTCCAAATTTTCATACACGAAATTCTACCGAATTCGCTATTTTTTTCTGCTATTCCTTCCTTCGCCATTTTTTCGGCAATTCTTTCCATCGTCATTTTTTTCGCTATTCTTTCCTTCGCCGTTCCTTTCCGCTGTTCTTTCCTTCGTCATTTTTTTTTCAGACAAAATCAATGCCATTCGAGAGTTCATCTTTTTTTTTTCTTTATACTGACTTTGACTAATTCTATATGTATCGACGGACAATGTTAATTCATTCATTCACGAACCAGCTTGATTAGAATTCAATGTTACAATATTGACAATGTAATAGTTGACCATTGTCATCACGGACGACGAGGGACACATATAGAACAAACTTTATCGAAACATAGCTATATATATATAGCTGTTTAAAGAGTTCCAAGCCATAATAAGCATGAATGATTCAACTGTTGGTATTCTTGACCTACCTGATGAAATTTTGCTTACTATTTTGAAGAATCTTAATAATTACGATGTGCTATATTCACTTATGGGTATTAATAAAAAACTCGATAATGTGGCATGTGATATCAAATTCACTCGAAATGTCGATCTAATGATGTTACCATCAAGTAGAGCGAATGATTGGAAAACTAGTGTGATACTTGATCGAGTTTTTATGCGCATATTACCTCGAATTCATGAGAATGTGGAATGTCTTACTATTCAAGGATGTTTCTTACAACGTGTTCTTCTTGCTGGCAATTATCGTAACTTACGCAAGCTCACTCTCATCAATCTCGAATTCAAGATGGTTTCTGATGTCTTCAATGGTATGTTAATTGATTTCTGAATGTTCAACAAGTAGAATAGATCTTTGTATTTTTTTAAGAAAATTCTTCATTTATTCATACATTCAAACACCAAATTTCAGATTTGGTCGTAACGATTAGTGATCCAATTACAAATAAACCAATAGAGAATTTACTAATTCCTATTGATTTCAAAATTTTTGCCTTATTAACAAATCTGAAGTATTTGGATTGGGATATAGATGATACTTATTCTTTGCAAGAATCATTGCTGGATGTTTTATCTTCTAATGCATGTTTTTCATCGAATATTGTTCATTTACAGATTAGAATGCACAATTTTGATGATTGTCTTTGTCTACTTGATGGTCGTCTTAGTCAATTACATACATTTATTATCACTCTTGATTACATATATGATACGATGAATATCATGGATCGTCGTTCATTAAACATCAGTCACGATTCATTAATGATCATAAATAATTTGGTAAATGAATATATATTTTTATTTCAGTGTTTACTAGAGAATCATTGAATTAATAATATTTAGAAACAATTCTCTAAAATATGTATTCACGGATTGTCCTAGTTTTTGTTTGCATTGTTGTCATTGAATCCTTATTTTTCAATTTTTAAAGCGTTTTTATTATTATGGTCATTGAATTAAATAGCAAATAGATCTGTTTTACATATCTATGATATCTACAGCAGATCTTAAGGTACTATGATGTATCTTAGTCAATTCATAACGTCTGTTGTCCTGAATGGCTTAAGTCTGTAATGAGAAGGGAAGCAGAACTGGTGATGAATAGAACTAAGTGAAATATTTCATGCATTGATACAATCTATCATTGGACGAAGAATTTAATGTGGTATCATTGCTCAATGTTTATTATATATTTTTTATTTTTATAGAATACTCTACTTAAACTCAACTGTTTTTCGCTATATGTACGTTTTTCAACATATGAATTCGACAGTCTAGTTGTGCCCCTCCTTCGTCGAATGTCAAATTTAGAAAAGTTAACATTATCTCTTCATGTTAGTAAACGAAATTCATTTATTGATGGTACTTATCTGCATAACTATGTACTCAATCAAATGTCACATCTACATACATTTATCTTCGACATTGTTACAGATTTTGTCAGGATTAATCAAGAATTTAAACCATCGTCTGATGATATTCGATGCACATTCATTGAAAGAGGACATGATGTTGATTGCTACATCGACTATTATCATTATAACATAGGTCGATGTCATGTTTATTCTCTTCCATTTAACATGAAACATATACGTTACATTACACATAGTTTTCCTGGTGGTATGTTCATGAATGTTCGCATTTTGCTTATGTGCGACATTGACAACAATTCCTTCGAGCACGATTTTTTCGCTCGAATCTCACGTTCATTTCCATTACTCAGTAATTTGACAATTGCCAATACAACACCACAAAATAAGAATCGATCACAACAGCTAGTCAAACCTGAACAAACATCCTCGATTATTGAATATTCGCATCTCGACGAACTTATCTTTAGCCCTGTTAGTACACATATTGACTATGTGGAAGAATTTCTTTGCAACTTGAATACACGTCTACCTTGTCTTAGCAAGTTTCATGTTAAATATGAACATTTAGTAACTGTTACAGAGAATTTTACAAGAAATACAACACGTATGAATTGTGCAAAATTGAAATATGTTAATTTTTATCGTGAACTTGGAATAGTTCGTTCAAAAGACTTTTATCTTTATTTTCCTTTGTTATATCACGATAATTGTAAGTAATAGATTTGTTTAATATATCAATAAAATAAAATGAAAACACCTACTTAGAAAAATTATACATATGAAAAGATTGGGTTTTATATTGTCCTATTCATACTTATTATAAGATAAAGAACTCGGATTTGTGAATTGTTTGATGTTGTTGCTTTTTCATTCAACACTGTTTTAATCATGATAACAATATATGCCAGAAATGAATTCAGTTCGCAATTTATTAAAGAAATTAGCTTCAAGTTGTTTCTATGAAGAGCTTTTTTTTTCTTATAGATTAATGACATTATCAATTAATGGAATTGGTGTGGTTTTATGTACTCCACTTTTGAGAGGTACTCAGAAATAATATACAAAACTTGTTATTATAAAAATTTATTGCTCTATTTTTCAAAGTAAATTGTCTTGTTTGTATAAACTTAAACGGTAAATATTTCTCATTCATGTACCTATTATATCGTATTTTTATGGCAGATATTGAGTGTGAGTATGGGTGTGAATGGGGGAATGCGCTTCTTCTTCACTCACATTCACACTCTTTTATTAATGTGTACTCATGAACAAATAAATAAAAGTCAGTGTCCTTTTCTATTATACATCAATTATAAGTGTAAGCATATTTAGATATCATTGTATTGAATCTTATCTTACGTTGTGTTTTCTCGATTATTCGTTATTCGATGTACTTTTAGTTAGTTTTGAAAACTAAAAAGAATACTTCAATCGATAGTGGCAATATGATCAATGTAGGACTGTGAAATCGCACACCAATTGTAAATTACTCTTCAAGTTGTTTGTTCGTTCTTAATACACAACTCATACTGCAAAAAACTAACAAACAAGCATGTTCTCTGTCATTTTGCGTAGTGATTATCTTAGATACGTGTATAAAAGGTGAAGATATCATACATTCAATTTCGTATTTTTCTTCTATAAAGACTACACAATCATGTTGTATATCGTGGTTCTACTTGTTTTATTGTTGAAATCACCGACTTTAATTTTATCATTACAGTGTTACATCTGTGAGGGTGGTTTTACACTTAATTATACTGTAACAAGTGATACAGTTCCATCGTTTTCTAAATGTCAGTTGGTCAATGGTGGAATATGTTGGATTACTGTCATTTGGAATCAAAATAATCACACTTCTAGTTTCTTAGTAGATAGTATAAATACTCTGTCTGTCAACTATACTTCGGAACATATCATCATGGCTTCTGCTGACATGACAGTTGTACATCAACACGAATTTCTACAAGTGAATCATTCATTTGGTTATGTTTGTCTATCGAATAAATGCAATAATGAAATGAGTTTAAAACAAATTCTTCATTCACTGGTTATCGAAGATAAATTTGCTCATGAATTAACTCCATTACTTGAAATTATTTCTCCATTTGATACACATTCTGCTGCATGTTATGATTTTAATAATTATACAGTCGGTTGTGCTTCAACAGATCTTGACACTTGTCAACGATGTCAAATTTCTGTCGATAGAGAACCTCCGCCGAGTCAACAAATCTGTGCAACATGTCCTTATTATTCTGAAGATCCTAATTCAATATCACGTCAAATTATGTTTTTACTAGATAGTCGAACACAATCACAGAATATTGCTAAAATCAATTGTCAACTCAAAGCATGTAATTCAATTGATAATATTAACCGAGTTTATAAAACAAGCAAAATTACATTTGATTTTGGAGAGTTTTTCAAAAATTTCTGGTATAATAATCTGTAGCTATTCATTTCATTGATATATTTGATCAAAATTCCGAATCGAGTGAATGACATGAGAGCTAAGAATGAAGATTACATTTCAGCTGTTCTACATTTTCATAGTCATACTATATTAGAAAAGATATCATTCATGTACTGATCAACAAAAAATTTAGATCGAATAAATGGAAAGCATTTTTCACATGAACTTTAAGATATAAGTAGAAGACTATGACCATCGTGTTCTCCATCAAAAATGACTTAGAACTATTAATTGAACATATTTCATAATGCGAATGACGAAATTCCAGTGAAAAAATATATATTCAGTTTGAGGCTGTCGAAGATGATCTCTAATGCAAGTTGTTTCTAGACGCCTATCTTATTTCAATCACGAGTTATGAAGCACCAAAATGTGAACTTTTTTTGCCCATCTTGGATGGGTCATAAAAACTATCAGCTCAATCAATGGAGTTGTTCTTGAGATATGATTTCGTCAAGACCCAGTCTGCTCGAAATGTTCAACTTGCCTATATACACAATTAGAGTCCTGAAGCAGAAATTTTCTCGTGTCCCGAATCACATTTGCCCTGTTAACTGAAAGAAATATCAAGATACTGTTCTATCGGAAAAGAATACCTCTTTTCATTTACAAAGCGTTCTAATATAAGGACGTAGAAAGATAAATTTCTGGACCCGCTCGATTAGCTCACAGGACAAGACAAAGATGTTTTTTCGGGATCTGATATGATCTGGCAGAACTCTGTATATAACCGTAAATGAATGATTAATCAAATATCTCTCATGTAAATAAGGGTGTAAGTATGCGAGTCTTTTTTCAATCTCACACTCACATCCTCTCAATTTTTTTCCATTCTCAGTAGTGTCCGAATTCTGTGAATTTCGAACTCTTGAGGAGTTCTTGAACTCAAATATTACTCAATACGTACGAGCACTAAGACCCCAAGGCATTCAAGGATCCCAAGGAATTCAAGGATCTCAAGGAAGCCAAGGATCTCAAGGAAGTCAAGCATCTCAAGGAAGCCAAGGATCACAAGGAATTCATGGATCCCAAGGGACTCAAGGATCGCACGGAATTCAAGGTTCCCAAGAAAGTCTAGGATCCCAAGGAATTCATGGTTCCCATGGAATTCAAGGATCCCAAGAAAGCCAAGGAATTTATGGATCCCAAGGAGTTCATGGATCCTAAGAAAGCCAAGGATCCCAAGTAAGTCAAGAAGCACAAGGAATGAAGGATATCTTTGAAATTCAAGCTTTTGAAAGGTGTCAAGAATTTCAAGGATAGTAGCCGGTCCAGTGAAGATAGTGAAGTTACGAAATCATATTAAGGTCCTCGATGGCAGTGAACGTATCTGTGCTTTCAGGAAGCTGAGAAAAGTCAGAACTTCCCTAGTGTAGGCTGGAATGTATATGTGTATGTGCCTTTTAAAGAAAATTGTCGATTTTCGTGACGCATAGTCGGTATAATGGCATTTGATATCTAAGCGTTTCGTCCACGGAAGGAGACGCGTAGAAGGAGGCATAAAGAAGGATCTGGGCTATAAAAAAATCCTTTACTATGGGTAGAAAACTTATGATATATCCCCCTGGCCAAAATAAACGGCACACCTTGTTTTTTTCAATTATATCTCTCTGGCCTTCTTGTTCGGTCTCATATTTATGGCATAGATGCATCGTTGATTACTTGACTAACCCTGAAAATCTCAACCTTATACTATGAGCCTTTAGTGAGAAAAATAAAAATATGTGAGCTCTACTCATATAGCAGTGTTCCCAAAATTTGTTATTTTGCTGATTTTTCTGTTATTTCAGATTTCATTTGAAATCTCAGGCTGTAGTTAGTTAGCTGTTATACGTGGCTATACAGAGAGATATCTTAAGATGTCTCTCTGTATAGCCACGTATAACAGCTAACTAACTACAGTCCGAGATTTCAAATGAAATCTGAAATAACAGAAAAATCAGCTAAATAACAAATTTTGGGGACACTGCTATATGAGTAGAGCTCACATATTTTTATTTTTCTCACTAAAGGCTCATAGTATAAGGTTGAGATTTTCAGGGTTAGTCAAGTAATTAACGATGTATCTATGCCACAAATATGAGACCGAACAAGAAGGCCAGAGAGATATAATTGAAAAAAACAAGGTGTGCCGTTTATTTTGGCCAGGAGGATATATACACTACACAGATAAAACAAAAAAAAAAAGGAAATATTTAGTTTGAAAAATTTCTTCTTTTCTTAAATTATTAGTTGTGTCTTTCTTTTCATGATTAACGATAAAAAATTATAATTATTGAAACAAAACTGTCATTTATTTGTAATAGATTGATAATGTCTTATTCTTGAAACATTTTTCGTATACCTATAAATCAATTGAATATTTCGTAAATGAAATAATTATAAAATAGGTTAACCATATAAATTATCTAAATAAGAATTGTCTAACTAGTGGATTATCTTCTTCAATTATATTTTTATTTTATTATTATAATCTATCTGTTCGTTTATCATTTATAGAGTTAAACAATCTCATCGGATAAATATATAACTATCGAGGAGGTAAAACGTTATATTAACTTTTATATGTTCCCCTAAGTAATTCATATATATTTTATGTTAAATTATCTATTCTTTTTGTTAAACAAAGAAAAAAAAACACCTTCGATAAATTTGAACTAATAAATGTATTGTTTTTTAAAATTTGGTTATATACATATTATAAATGATAATCAATAATCTATATCTATATCTATTATCCGTTGAAAATTGACATATCAATTGATAATCATTTTAATTTATTTCATTTCATACGAAAAAGAAAAACATCGATTTATATGATTGATTATTTTAAAAAGTCAATTTTCATTTACTACGAGAAACATCAGAGAAGTTTTTATGCTATGAAAAAAAAAATGACTCTACTATAGGATAGAATAAGTTTGATAGTAAAGATATAATAAAACTACGATAGGTTGGACATTATTCGGAATTATTCTTTTCGAATAGAAATACTATTCGAATAAACTAGCTCTAATTTGTAACAAAACATTCTATCTTTATCACATTTCAACAATTTGAATATAGACGAGTCATTCTATAGACTTGTTTATCTATCAATTGATAATATTTGTTAGAGGAAAATCTATCATTAAATAGAACATTTATCATTTAGAATTATTTTCTTCCATACTCATTTCATAATAGTGGAAACGAGATTGTTTTATTTATTTCTATTTGATAGTCAAGATGAATAATTCTTTTATTGTACTATCTGCAACTTCGAATGGTTTCTTTGACAATTGGCATTATCTCAAATTAGACATACCTTTGTTTTACATATATATATGTGATTAAAAGGCGTTAGTTTATTCTTTATATATTAGTATAGTCAATTCGAAATTTAAAATCATTGAATGGTATTAACGATTAGGGAAGAAGTGTAGAGTGTCAAAGTAAAATAAAGATATTTTCTTAAAATAGGATTAAAATTTTCATAATTGACCTATATATTTAAGTTGATAAATAAAGTTTGAATAAATCTAGGAGTGAGATGATAATTGATATGTTTTGTAAAAGTAAAATGAAAATCTAGTCGAATTCTATTCATAGATATAATTCTTGTTATTATTTAATTTAATTGACTAATCTGCATGTTATATAATGTACATGAGTATATTGATTTAATTTGTTATTATTATTGATTTGTCTTTAATAATAATAGTTCGAAAATGAATGATAAATATATTCGTGTAAGAATTGTTTATTGAATATCTATTAATCCAGTATTGACATCGTTTAAATACGATGAAAAATAATTTATTCAGCTAAACAGAATAGATCTGTATAGTTATATAAAAAAAAATTGTTCAATTAATAAAAGACTAGTGTTTATCTCTCAATCTATTTCTTAATGTGTCTAGTCAATGTTTTAATGATAATAAAAATAAATTTCATTTTAATAAATCAACCTAAGTAAGGTATGGCAAAAAAGTTCGCTGCATTTTTCATATCGATATAAATAGAAAAATTTCTGAGAACTTTTTTCCATAAATTATACCATAAGATGGAATGTGAAAAGTTCTACAATTTACATAATGTCGCTTATTTTATAGTTGCACTTTTTCTTTTCAAAATCGACAAAATTCTGAGCAACTAAATTTCGAAGCTGCGAAAAAGTCTATAATTCTGATGGAATAAATTAAAAAAATCTATGAATCTATATAAATTTGTTAAAATAAAAGATATTGATAATGTGTTGTGTTGTATTGATGAGTAACAATATTCTTCTATATAATAAAGCATATTGAAATATCTGTGTTCACTTGTTGTAATAATGATAACAATCATAGATAAAATAATCAAAATAATTGAATATTTAAATTTAAAATATTTTTAATCCGAAAATCTATGAAAATAATAAATATTTTTTCATGTTGCATTAATTGAGGAGAATTATTTAGATTTATCCGAATTTGTTCAAATTAACTAAATAAAATCCTAGATTATTTAAAAGCGTACCAACCTTATAAACTGGAATAAATGAGTTCAAGGATTGTTTGAACAATATTTCAAGGAATAATGCCAATATTTCCATAAAGAAATAATCATATTTCTATTATTGATTATTTGTTTTTATTTGTTCTCAATGATTTTTTTTTCTCCTAAAGTTGTAAATTGAAATTTAAAAAAAAATTATTCGAGTGGTTGTTAGAGTGTTGATGGCCTGAACTAGTAAATCCTATATAAATGGAGTCTCTCGTCAGGAATAAGATAAACGTTTCGAAAAAGGTTGAGATTATTTCAATTGATAACCATTTTCTATAAAATACATAAGGAAATAAATAAAATCACATAAATGAGAAACGATTGCAATATCGATTTCAACAAATTATGCTCGAGTAATAATTAAAAATTCCTAGAAGAACATCATATAAAAATACCAATAAGATGACACTCGGAAAATGGATTTAGTTGAAATTTCAACTTTCAGTTTCGAA